ACCGAGCCAGCGGCCACCGGGCCGGCAACCGCGCGGGCTGGGCCATCCCCGGCCCTCGGGCTCCTGGGGCCATGAGGACCGTCCGGGCTTTCCAGACTGCGCCTGGGTTTTAGCTGCAGTCACTGCTTTAGTCTAAGTAGACGCTTGCTCTGACGGGGGAATTTAAAGGCAGAGCCAAACAACCATCCATACATGCAAAAAGACAAAGGCAGACATTTTTCCAATCCTTAGGGCGCAAGGAATACAATTACACATTGTCTCTGCATCTCAAGTTTTTAAGTTTCAGATAGGAAGATTAAGGCATGCGCTGATGATATTTTATATTTACATTTGTAGAACACCAGCAGGTAATTCAGCACATAAGGTTACTCCCTCCTATCCCCATTTTTTTCTTGACATTTCTGGGAAATACAGAAATAAAGCAAACCAAGAAATCATGCATAAGGCTTTCTTGAAAAAAAAGTACGACTTTTTCCTCCCAATCCTCCTCCCCAGCTGTGTGCTGAGCTCTCATTCTGCTTGAAGCTTTACACAAACAATCCTTGACACCAGGAGACTGGTTACACTAAATCTCTAAATGGACTGAAATTAGGGTAATTCCTATTCTCACTGCATAAACCAGAAAAAAAAGGCTAAATTGAAGTAAATAAAGTTACATGAATATAAAAAAACACCACCAAAATCAGACTAGTGTCCACATCAAAACAATATGGGTTTCTGATGTGATATCCAGCAAGTAATTATTCCAAACTAGATATTCCACTCTAGTTACTCACTTTATCATCCCATAAGAAGGACTGCATTTCCCAGATTACAAACACACACTTAAATATTTTGGCCAAAGCTTTCAAAAGAGTAGCTATAATTTATTTAGAAGATTATGTGCTGCAAAGCACAAAATCCCCTTAATTCCATTTAACTCAGAAGCTGAGTCTATCATTAATAGAAAGTCACCATGCCCTTTAAGGTGCAAATGGTGCACATAACACAACTAAAAACCAATGAGGTGACAACCTGGGCTGGAACACCAGAACACTCCAACCAAGGGAAGATTCGTTTACTCAGCCATCTCAGTCACTGTTTTGCTAATAGATATGTTACACTTAGCAAATTAATCTTTGAAGAAAGTGATAAATGCACAAATCCCAAGCTGTCCACTTTTCATTACTATCTGCCCTCCAATAAAAGCAACAAGCTAGGAGATGGCTTTGCATGCACGTCAGGAAAATTCACAAGGGCAGCAGCTTCTCCTTGCTGATAAGCACGGCCGGGAGTCTCAGCCCCGCTCTGTGGGACGGTTTATCTACCATCAGGTACTGCAAGGCTTTCCCCTTCCCACAGAAGTTACGTGTCAGCAGCAATCGCTGGTGAAAGCAGGAGCCCGTACATATATGCAGCTTCCCCTACTTCAGTGTTCTTGTCCTTAAATAAAAGCAGTCACGTGCTCTTCTTCAAAGTATCCTCCTCACTGGTTTCTTTTTCCCCTGTTCCACTTCAATGTTCCTGAACCAGTCTGTGATTTTCTCCTCCCCTGCTCCTATAAAAATTGGTACTTCTCTCTTTCAGGTGGCTACAATTCCAGTCCTGTTTGTAGCTCTTTCCAGGGATGGCTTCTATTTTCCTTTTTTTCCTATGAATAAGTAGTTCTTAGAGCGGGCACTTGGCGCCTGCAAAGTAAAACAGTTGGCGCCTGCTTTCCACCTCCTTTGCAGGTATCCAAGGCTCTTCAGGATGAAATGCCTGGACACATGAAATGTCTGGACACTGCTCCTGCGTGCTCAGAGCTCTCTGCCAAGCTGCCGGAGCACCTGAGAACTGCCCTATCCCCTAAACAAACAAGACTCTGCACAAGATCAATGTGCCTGCAAAGGAACCAACACCTATCGCAGGGACGTATTAAAAGAAATACTGACCCACGCCTCCTTTTCACCTATGTTCACGCAACTAAACATTAGTTCCATAGGCCAGTTGGTCTGGTTTCCTCTCTTTTCAATGGAAATGGGGAGGCACTTCAGAAGGCAACCCGTGCTGCCCTGGCACGGCGCGGATGCTCCCCATCTCTTTCATGATGAGCGAGAGTCCAGACAACCCTGGCTAGAACAGACAGACAACTCTTCTATGGGTACAGCTATGGGTGCGAAGGTGAGAAAATGGGAAAATACATTTATTTCTAAGCTCTTTCTCCCATGTCGCTAGGAAAGCAAAATGAGAATCAACCACAACTGCCCCTAGGTTTACCACGTGCAGCACAGCAGGTACGTAAGGCCCATTTCAGCACTGGCACGGCGGACCAGCAGCACGAGGCGACGCTGCCCGTTTCGCCGTGCAGAAGTGCCCCGCGTTCCTGCGCCCAGCTTAGCACCAATGGCCGGGAGGGAGCCTTGCATGAACTTCCCCAAGGTCTTAAGAGAAACTTAAATATTTTTCGGAAGCTGGACCAATCATCAAACACTCAGAATAACTGGGGGAAAAAGAGCAAATGTGAAATTTAAGCTATCGTTTTGAGAAAGATGATTAATTTTTATTCCATAAAGCCTGATGAGATAGAAAAAGAGCTTTAGTTATAATGGTAGCTGAGCAGCATACCTTTGAAGTTTTTAGGGAAAAATGTATTAGATACACTTTAAAACTATCTGTTCCAGGCTGCAAATGCCTCTCTAGACTACACTAGAGATTCTAAATACACTTTCATATCTAGACATTAATAGGTTAATGACAGTATTGTCAGGACACAGAAAAGTCTCAAAGATAGATCTCTTGATGTTGTTCTCTATGGCTTTATGACTATCCTCAAAATTTAGGCCATTCCAGTACTCCCCATCTATGATTTTGCTTTGGGATTTTTGAAAAGAACACTGCAGATAATTTATCTATAAAAGCTTTCTAATACTTCAATCTGTTTTTAAATTAAACTTAAAAACATATACCTAGAGAGCAAATACAGTAACAAAAAAAAACCTACCATTTTTCAAAAATAAACAAGAAAAAACTATGCAAAATTAAAAATCTTTTGAAAACAGATGTTATGTTGCTATAAACACCCATCTACTTATCTATTCACAACGAACTAATTTCCACAAGGCCAAGTCTCAAATTTCAGTAGTTAGTACTGAACACCACAACTTGTCCTACCTGATTCAATGGATTGGCAGTGCGGTTGTAAAGAAATGACCACTCTAAAGTGTGAACTGTTCAAGACAGTGACATTACACCCAAATTAAAGCCAAAGACAACAGCATGTGCGATGCTCCCCGGGATGCGCTGTGGGAGCCGAGTTCACGGAGCCGCTGGACTCAGCATCTACTGCATGACGATCCCGGTGACACACAACCTTTCTTTTCCATTGAAAAGATACTAAGATCACAAGGCAGCTTAGGTTGGAAATGACCTAAGGAAAGTCTCAAAGAGGGGTGGGCTACAAAGTCACACCGGGTTGTTCATGATTCATCCAGGCTCTTCATGACAGCCACCAAGGACAGAGGTTGGGCTTGCTCTTGGGGTAACCTGTTCCAACGCTTGACTGTCCTCATGGTTCTTCTGTATATCTAATGTTTTAATTGCTGGTACTGAAGTTCTGTTTAAGATTTCCTAAGTTACTGTCCTACCTTCAGCCACTGAACACCCTACACTTAGCTGCAATCTTGGCCTTACAGAGACTTAAAAATTTATGTAACATTTATGAGCAATTCCACAAAGCTCTTTGAGATTGCTCGCAGGTCTACAGAAGTACAAATGTCTGAAAGACGTGGGTTTAAGACTACACTCCTCTTTTCTGTGATTGCAGAAGAGCTGAACAACATGTGAACAGCTCCTCCAGTTGTGCTCTTGAGAGTCAACTCTTCTGTTGAGCAGCAACGAGCTTCACGTTGCCCGATATAACGCGGCCAGTGAAACTCCCCTCGTGTGTGAGCAGCAAGGAGTGGACAGTTCTCTTGCTGTTCTCAAGGCTGAGCACCAGGAAGCTCCTCATCCCTGCAGGAAGGGCACAGCTCAGCTGGCCGTGGGTGCCGGGCCCTTCCACACAACCTCACGTTTTCCCTTGACCTCCTCCCATCACGAAGTTTTCAACCTACAGCCACGTGCCCGCAGGAAGGAGGCCCGAACCGCCATGCAGTTGAGCACCGCTAAAGAAAAGTTAATTCCCCTCAGTTCTGCCACAGGCCGCGGCACATGGACAAGGGAGCCTTCCTCGGCTTTATGGACAACCGTCCCCCCGGTGCCGCCGTGCCCAGGGTGCCGGGGG